AGTTTATGCAACAATATTGGGAGGGGGCAGACACAAGGTGTATAAGGGAATGCAAAAATAACAAATACTTGTGGTTATATAAATATCACTTAAGATCTGAACGAGTTGAGTAATTCAAAAGCTTTTGGGCAAGTCTTTCTTACATGTAACTGAACCATACATTTATATACAAATATGGTAACCTTAAAAGTTTAGCTCTGTTGATTTGACCTTAAAGGGGAAATCAAAGTGTTCTATTGTAAGATGATACAAAATACTTTATTTCCTCAATAAAAGCGGTCCCTCTATTAACACCTCCCTCAAATAAGAAATATTTACTCGTAATAAATGACAATACAGCTCCACCCGCTCTGTATATTGTCGGTCAGTAGTATTCTTGGTCATTTTTGTAGCTCTTTGAAATATTAGGATTAATGATCAAAGAGTTTCACACATATTATTCTATGCAGAAGGTAAGAATAAACACAGGAAACGAAAGGTTCCATGTACTGTTTTAGTTCGATTTACACAGCTATGATCTCAGTGAAAGCATTCTCTGTTTTGAGAATAGTTTATTTTAAACCATTAGAAAAGATTTAATATTGGAAGTTAAAGTTTTACAAACAGTTCATTTTATTTGCCTGAAAGTAAGCCTTAGAAATTAAAAGGTTTGATCAATAATTGCTCACAGATGTCCTTCAGGGGATAAAGTATTAAAACTGGCTAGAACGTGCCAATGAGATAGAGAAAGAGATCAAAGATCTGTGAACTCGTGTCTGGCAAACTACCCAAGTGTTTATATACACAGTCATACACACCTTATAACCTCATCTCCCCTTAACGATATAACATTTGCCAAGCATTCGTTATATAGAGGTATCTGATATAGCGAACCCTCCATTTAAGTAACACATTTCCCCAGTCCCTTTGCATGTTAAATCGAAGTTCTTGAGGCAATAAAAAGTAGATTACATGAACGAAGGTCAAGCCTGCCTTAGGTCATTAACTTTTGAGACGTATACTCTTCGGCAGTCCTAGAGGTTTTGGATGTGCTGTTACCTGTGATCACGAACATGATTAATTTGTCATTCGAATCTGGCGAATTCGCTAGTGATTGGAAGGAGGCTGTACTAAAACCGCCGCTTAAAAAGTGTGGACTTGACATTGCTTTCCATAACTTCCGCCCAGTAAGCAACCTCCCTTATGTTTCCAAACTGTCAGAGAAGGCAGCGGCTAATCAACTCATTGACCACATAAAACCACTCCAAGTAAGAGGGATCAAGTAAGGTCTACGGCTAATGGTCTCAATTATCCATAAACCCGTCACAAAACCACTTTCTGATAAAAAACAATAGGACTGAGAGGCAATTCTAAAGGATAAATGCAGATTGGTAACACGAAAATGATTTTAGCCATTACTGCACCATGGTGGTTCGGTGACAGATTTGCTCGTTAACTGCACCACGGATACGAAGTACTGCAAGGTCGCCACTCAGAAATTAGGAGAACAGCTCATATCACTAAAAAACCTTAGATTTTTTCGTGTAATGCGTGATAAAATAGTTTGTGAGTCCTACAGAGTCGATTATATACGATTACCGTGAAGCGTGGTATTCCACAGTGATATTAATTGCCCTCTATTACAATTTTCCCCATGATATTATACCCTATTTCTGACCGCTTTCTTAAGTGAAAGTACGGCCTACCTAATTCATTACGGACACTGACTCACAAATTTAGCAATTTTCCAATCCCTGAGATGCCGGACTCCATAAAATTCCAATAAATGTGCTTTTGAAACGGCTGGTATGCGGCCATTTTTATCTCATGCTAACAATCCGAAGCTCCAAACAAGTGAAACTGCGTCACGTTTTGAGCTAAATAGCTCGGTAAAACAACTGCTCAGCGGTGAGAGTTTGCTCGAGAATCAGAACATCAACTAGACAGGTTGTATTTTAGATCAGACAATTGAGATTTCAGAGGTACAACCTCGAATAAACCTTCTATTAGACCGACCCTGCGAGGTCAAATGTAGGTCGACACGTAAACCGGAAACGTGGAAACCCGAAAATACGGAAATCCGGATCATTCGGAAATCGGCAATCTAAAATCAATCAGAAGCCCAAGCCAATTCCAAACATTACAGACAGTTGCATTCGTTTAGGGATTAATTTCGACTTTGAGACATGTAAAAGAAAAAACCTTCCAAATAATTAAACCGGCGTAGCTGTTTGATTTTCACTGAACTGAAACGCAGTTCCACGATCGATTGCGTTTGCCAAATAGGCTCCATAAGAAACAGTAAATATCATTGACCGGTTACAAACATGCTATGTGCGCTAACAGATCACACTTGTGACTAATACTTAACAACAGAAGTTCGCTTTATATGGAAACTAAGCGTGGCGAGATCTAGGAAACCGAGCCAGCTCGGTTGTCTGAAAAGGCCCTTGAAAAATCGCTTCTTTTGGAGACATTCTGGTTGTTTTATGGGCGGAAATGATGGTGATTTGGGAAAGAAATAAATTAGGGTGGAAACTGGTATACACATAAACTAGTTTTCCGCTAATGGGATCAGAGGCGCCTTGTTTTGGTGGTGGACCCTCTGGTATTTTTTTTTACTGATTATTCACTTCATGTTTCAATTTTTAACAACCCCCAAATCCAATATTTTCCAACTTTTCCAAAGTTTTAAACATCCTCCCTAGTTTTATGCATTAAATCATCCAAGAATTCTCAAAAAATTATTGAACCAAAGACTCCAACTTAATTGAGTCATTTTTTGATTCAAAAAATGGCTAGATCTTTAAGAAAAAGAGTAGAAATCAACGAAAAACAATGCTTTTTACAAGACAGCGGGGTAAATAGTCCCGATCGGTGAGTAAGAAAGTGATCATTACTTAGGGAGGGGAGAAGGGAAGGCTTGAGAAAATGGAGTAACTAACCCTCTTCCTTATGAAGCACAATTTTTTCATATTCTCTTCTCATCTTAACCTGTTCCGGCGTTCCTTTGACTACTTTTACAATAGCAATTAGACTGCCCTCCTCCCAAACTTAAACTTACTGGCGCTGACTCACAAATTGAGCCCTATTTCAAATCTTTGAAGTAACCGATTCCATAAAGTTCCAGTAAATGTGCTTTAGAAACTTGCATTGTGCGGCCTTATTTGACTCCATGCTAACAATCCGCTGCATTTGTTTAGAGGAAAGGATCGTGAAAGGACCAGTAAAATGTCGAATAATGAAGAATTTTACGTGAAGGTAAGATTCATTCTGCGTACATAAGCAGATTTTCAAGTAAAGCGCCATAAACCCATGGATATGGCGCAATAATAAGTAACAGTTATTCACCGAAGTGTTGGCTAGTGTGGGTATTTACCGAGGACGCGAAGCGGCGAGGTACATAGCTACCACTAGCCACCGACACTGAGGTGAATAAATGTTTCAGTATATACTAAAACAGTGAGATAATTGAGCACAAAAATAATTTTCAACTCATTTACTGTTGGCAACGATTACAGTTTCGGCGCGCAATCACCGAACTGCCGCGGTCGTCGCTTTTTCTTGCCGACAAATAAACCTTTTGAAGGGATTTGTTTAGCTCTTGCGGGGAAACTTCTTCAAAAGGAGTTGTGAATTCTGTTTCTATGTAAAATCATTCGGAAAAAAGATTACTAAATTTAGTTTTAAGCTAAGTCAAATTAATAAAGTAACGCAAGACTTAAGCTTAATTTGCATTTGTAAACCAAAAACTTTTTCGCCGGTTTTATCAATAAATTCAAGTAAAAAGGACAAAGCCTTACCTGTTAAAACTTCCAAACCGAACTTCGTCACCTTCTTCGTGTATTTCGGGAACAGCTTGCTTGATTAGTTGAGAAATTTCTTTGTTTGTTACGACCGCAAACCGGGAAGGCATTTTTCTCGCAACTTACGCGAGTTTCGCGTCGCTCGCTCGGAGGAACTGGAGGTGAATTAGTGAATAGTGCAGGATATTCACTGATTGAGTAGCCAATAAGAGCGCGCAAAAAACACTAACCACTGTTTTAGTATATACTAAATGCTTTTATTATTATTAAAGCAGAGATCTCAACTGGTTGCTAATAGTTTAAAAAGCTGCCCAGGGCGCACAGGATTATCAATATCATTATCATTATCTTTATCATTATAAATATTAATATTATAAATCATTAAAACACCTATTAATTGTAAAGGGGAAGCCTTTCTCTCGATATCACGGATAACGCGGATAGCAGTCTTAAGGGCGACTCTATTTGTAGACCAAAACCCGATGCAATATGGCCAAGAAAGGCGCTAAGACACTTTATTCTAAGATTAGCTGCGAAACACGGTAAAATTGTCAAAACATTAGTGCTAACAGGGTAACAGGGTAACAAGGCAACAGAGAAACAAGGTAACAGGGTAACAAGGTAACAGAGTAAAAACGTAACAAGTTAACAAAGTAACAACGTAAAAGGGTGACAAGGTAAAAGAGAAACAAGGTAACAGGGTAACAGATTAACAAGGTAACAGAGTAACAGGGTAACAAGGTTACAGAGTAACAAGATAACAAGGTAACAGAGTAACAACGTAACAGGGTAAAAGAATAACAAGGTAACAAGGCAACAAAGAAACAAGATAGTCTGGATAATAGCAGGCAAGTAACTATTTTTTAAAAAATGGACAACAACTTTAAGTTTAAAACAAGTCATGTTTCGATCGTTCAACGATCATCTTCAGTTGTGAATTCGTTTGCAAGATCGGTTGAATTAATACAAGCAATGAGGTATAAGTTAAAACGTGATACAATTCAAAATTTCGAAAAATTAATGTACAATTTTAAGATGCGCGAGACATGGAATAACACTAGCGCGAGCACTACACTTAATACGAGGAAGAAAATTGTAAAAATTGAAATAATTACAAGGGAAACAAGATAACAGGGTACCGAGGTAAAAGAGTAACAAGGTAAACAAAATAACAGAGTAACAAGGAAAAGAGTAACAGAGTAACAAGGTAACAAATCAACAGGGTAACAGAGTAACCCGGTAACAAGGTAACAGAGTAACAAAAAAGAGTAACACAGTAACCAAGTAACAGAGTAACAAGGTAACAACGAAAAAGACTAACAAGGTAACAGAGTAACAAGGTAAGAAAGTAACAGAGAAACAAGGTAACAAGGTAACAGAGTAACAGGGTAATAAGGTAACAGAGTAAAAACGTAACAAGGTAACAAAGTAACAACGTAACAGCGTAACAAGGTAACAATGTAACAGAGTAACAAGGTAACAGAGTAACAAAGTAAAAAAGGAACAGAGGAACAAGGTAACAGAGTAACAGGGTAACAAGGCAACAGGGAAAAACAAGGTAAAAGGGTAACAAGGTAACAAAGTAAAAAGCTAACAAGGTAACACAGTAACAACGTAGCAGAGTAACAAGGTAACAGAGTAAAAAGATAAAAAGGTGACAGAGTAACAATGTAACAGGGTAACAAGGTAACAGCGAAACAAGCTAACAGAATAACAGAGTAACAAGGCAACATAGTAACAAGATTAGAAGGTAACAGATTAACACGGTAACAGTGAAACAGAGTAACAAGGTAACAAGGCAAAAGAGTAACAAGGAAACAGTAACAGAGGAACAAGGTAACAAAACAACAGGGTAACAAGGTGACACAGTATACAGGTAACAAAGTAACAATGTAACAGAGTAACAAGGTAACAGAGTACCAAGGTAACAAGGTGACAGAGTAACAAGGGAACAGAATAAAAAGGTAACAAGGTAACAAGGTAACTGAGTAACAAGTTAACAGAAAAACAAGGTAACAGTGTAACAAGGCAACAGAGTAACAAGGTAACAGGGTAACAAGGCAACAGAGTAAGAAGGTAACAGAGTAACAGAGTAACAAGGTGACAAGGTATCAGAGTAACAAGGTAATAGGGTAACAGAGTAGCAAGGTAATAGAGTAAAAAGGTAACCAGGTAACAGAGTAACAAGGTAACAGAGTAACAAGGTAACAGAGTAACAAGGTAACAGGGTAACAAGGTAACAGAGTAACAAGGTAACACGGTAACAGTGTATCAAGGTAACAAGGTAACAGAGTAACAAGGTACCAAGTAAAAAAAAGAAGGTATAACTTATGCAAGTAAAGTCGGTACAATGAATTATATGTCCCCATATAGCAAGTACCTACCACATTTACTTTAATTTTATGGAGTCCTCCATCTCAGGGATTGAAATATGGCTCAATTTGTGAGTGAGTGCCACTAATGAATTAGGTAAGCACTACTTTTGACAAAGTCTGCTTAAAATAGATCCGTTACGCTAAATTTGAAAATATCGTATTAGCTCGCATTTGCATCGATACAAAAGGTCATGACTTTTAAAATACTGAAATCGTACGTGGTTTTTTGTACATTACTAATAACAGATGATCTATCTTTTTGTCTATTTAGTATAGAGTTTTCTACTAGTTCCCAAACGTCAGAAATAAGCGTATAAACCAAGATCATTTATAGCTTTTCGCTGCAAGGCAATTAGTTGGGGTCACATTTTTCTTAATTTTGTCTTTTCAGCTTAATTCAGCGAATAAATATTACTTTCAACCCTGTGATTATTAATATTTCGAAAATAGGGCTCTTAGATACCAACTTTTGTCTTCGTTTTCTCGGTTTCTATTTAACGAAAATGCTTCATTTTTGGAATTTAAATTCAGGTTAAGAGTACATTTCAAATATTCGATTTACAAGGTATGATCATATTTTGACTCTATAGGAGTTCTAATACCTTTAGAGCTGGTCTCTCGATGATAATGATATGATAGATGATAATTTTTCTGTAGACTTCTGTTAATAAGTGTATAACAAATATCAAAACTAGATTGGAGAAATTCGCTTTTTTGTTTAGAAAATCCAAGGAGCCGCAATGACCCATTTAGCGTAACATGCGATTTTAGCCAAATTTAGTAGGTGAAATCTCAAAAGTGGCTCACACTTACTGGCTCTCCAGCATATCAATTTTTTGTTCCATCCTTCAGCTACTGAATCGTGTTTAAATGCTTGGCGGCCATTCAGTTTCGGTCGAGGGGTGAGTGGCGAAACTTCCCTCACTTGGCCATTTTGCCAACGTCTCTCCGTTGCAAATGTCCAGAAGAATTTCCAGAATAGAAAGCGAGAAATCGGGTTTTTGTCACTCGAAGATTGTCCATTCCTAATGAATTCATACTTTTAATCACTGTTTTCCATGTGGCTATGGTTTTAATGCAGCGAAGAAGGGAGAAGGCGATGAAACTTATAAACCGTTATTTACTATCCGCCATGTTTTTGGAGGGTTTGTGGAAAGTAAGGAATCTGGAATCCGGAATCCGGAATGCGGAATTCGCATTCTTTCAAGTGTAAGCTGTTAGAGTATTCCCTTTTTCATTGACGTAGAATCATTTCGCATGTTAGAATGTTATTTTTTCATCTCTCATTTTCAATTTAGGATATTAAGCAGGAAGTAACAGAAGTCTTCTCAGGCTGATCTATTGTAGGCTCAAAAGGGGATTTCCAATCGAGAGTTTCTAATCCTCCAGGTCTCCGAGGATGAGACTTTCGCTGCTTATATTGAAGATGTCTCAATTTAAATTCAATTTAAATCTGAGGAGATATCTGAAATTGATAAACTATGACTCAGGGCCAATAAAGAATACCCGTGAAAACTCGCTGAACAGTGCATGCGCACGTCATTTTAAGCATATTAGTTTCCTCGTTCTCGCTATTTTTCCTCGTCTTTTCCTTTCTTAATGTTATTTTCTGGCTCAGTTAGAAACGAACCTTCTTGGCCTAATAATAATATTATCTGTAAGTTATTTATTCTTTGCACTCCAACAAATAGACTTGTCAATGTCTTTGAGCAGCCAGATAATGACTTTTTCGGCACCTTGAACAAATTGCTGTTGACAAAGATGTGTACAGTAGAACCTCGATTTAAGGTGGCTCCCTAGAGTAAATTGGCCGTGCGCAGCCTGGGCACTAGTATGGCGCGAGCTTTAAAACCCGCGCGACTTCCACGCAAAAATAAAACAAACATGACCTCTTTGTTTCGAAATATTCCCCCCAAAAAACTTTATTAACTTTCTGTTGAAGTTCACTGTGCAAAAAGTTAGTGTAGGTTAAAAATTTAGGAGCGGAGACAATGTTAAATTACACCGGTTACAAGTCACTATCGATCTTAACAGGAGTAAATTGTATGTAAAAACGAAGCAGAAATTTTCCAAAGACATCAATTCTTTCGCTTCAAAAGGAGACAAACGTAAAATAGTCGAAGTAAATTGTGAATGGAAACTTTACAAAGAAATTTTTGACAAGGTTTCAGATGAAATAAAGCCACATAACGTTCAAAATTTAACTTAACTATAAAGAAAAGAAATTCCGCAGCAATCACGTAGAGTTTCAACCTTCTTTTATTGTAAAGCGTCTTTTCATTACAGTTTTGCAATTGAGAGGGAACAAAGGAAATTTTTCAAATGTGGTAGTCTGTTCGTTATCTATCATGACGAGCTGTTAAATTACAAATAAACAGAACCGTAAAATATCAAGGGGCGTTTTCCAGAACCGTGGGGTTTGCGGGCAAGCGTTTCCTCTTTCCCCCTCCCCTTCCCCATTCTTTCATCGCTCCCACTCTAACATTCGCGAAAACGCTTGTTACGCAGGCTAGCCAATCAGAAACGCAGAAATATTTTGAATAAATAATTTAAGGTGGCTCCCTAGAGTAAATTGGCCGTGCGCAGCCTGAGCACTAGTATGGCGCGAGCTTTAAAACCCGTGCGACTTCCACGCAAAAATAAAACAAACATGACCTCTTTGTTACGAAATATTCCCCAAAAAAAACTTTATTAACTTTCTGTTGAAGTTCACTGTGCAAAAAGTTAGTATAGGTTAAACATTTATGAGAGGAGACAATGTTAAATTACACCGGTTACAAGTCGCTATCGATCTTAACAAGAGTAAATTGTATGTAAAAACGAAGCAGAAATTTTCCAAAGACATCAATTCTTTCGCTTCAAAAGGAGACAAACGTAAAATAGTCGAAGTAAATTGTGAATGGAAACTTTACAAAGAAAGCAAAGAAATAAGTACACTAAACCTAAACTACTGTTACTGTTTCTGGCCTTTGGTTCACGGTCAGTGAAAAGATCTGAACGATCGAGCCAAGTCCCGAACAACCACTGAAGAATGTCTTCATCGGCGGGACTCCTCGGTCACTTCTCTTACATTTCATTTGATTAAAAATTCTAGAAGTGGCTTTAAGGCAAGATTACAGCAAGTATAATTTTTTTTTTGTTTTGCCGACTCGATCACATTGTTTAAAAAACTTATCAGAAGTGGTTAACTTGCATCCTGATTGAAGGAACCTTTCCATCGACGAACCAACATCCTTGCACTTTTTCCTTTCCAAAAGTTCTTCAACGCGCAAGGTGCACTAGAAAATGTGGTTGCACAACGAAAAATAATTTTTGAGTTACAGATTGACCCTTGACGAAAGCAATAGTAGGTTATCCGTCGAGAACTACGATCTTGTACGTGCAGCTGAGGACGTGATGTACTTCTTTTAGATCGGCGCCATCTTTTACAGCAGGCTTTTAAAGAAAAACTTCGCCGTCCAAATTATCCCTCAAGAGGAACAAGGTTGAAAAAGTATCCGGAAGTGGGCTGGCATGTGAAGATCTTCAAACAGTCGGTACAGCAGATTAGGAAATAAAGGGCTTATCGCGATCCTTGCAAAACCACATCCGCACGAGTAGTGACCACCACGGCTAGAACTTCGGCTGCAATGGTTAAGTATTTCGAAGAAAACATCCAATGTTTGGTATGAAATTGAATCCGCTATCTCTCCTTTTTCAACAGCCGAGATATCACCGTGATAATAGTGATAAAAAGCTTTAACAATGGCTTTGTACTTTTCGAAGAAATCACATGTTTTCAGTTATGTGCGTAATGCGCATGCGAGCACGATGGCTCGCGCGCGTATTTTGCTTATACGACCCCGAACCACGCGTGTTTTTCGGATTTTTGTGACGTCAGCGCAGTAAATTAACCGTGAATTTCTCGCGTTTCCTTCGGTAAATTTTTTTTAAAATCGCCTCATTTCTTAACAGTTGCAGTACCTTTGTACTGTCCTTTTCTTGTTAAAATCTGTAAGAGCTAAACTCCTCTATTAAGAAAAGTTACAAATTTCAAAATATTGGCGAAACCGTCTCAACGACCCCATGTTTTTTCCACTTTAAAATGTTAAGCAATATCGTTAACATAAAGTGGCAAAGTTTAAAGACATTTCACCGAGGGGAAAAAGAAATATTAAGAAAAAATGATCAAAAATGACAAAATTACTGCCTCATTAAGGATGCCATGTTGCCATGGCAACGGCCTTAATCCAGAAAATGAAACTTGATAAAGGAGCCTTTTTACATGGGTAAACTTAGCGGTGAATTTCGTAAACCAAATCGCAAAGACAAAGTAACTAGATTTCCTTCTGTAACGTATGCTAGATAGCTAGGGTTATAAGTAAATACTCTAGGGAGCCACCTTAATGAAGTGCCAAGGGACAAGGGAAATTCCACTTATCGAAAGTTCGGGAAAACTACCAAAATGCTCGTTATATCGAGGTATAGTTAATAATTAATTTACAAAACCAAGTTTTCCGGATCTAAAATATTACTGTAATAACTTCTTACTACAGAGCTATATATAGAGAGGATATTACACGGTGGCGCGAAAGTATGAGTGGCAAAACAATATTTTACGAACGAGCGCAGCGGGTGAGTAAAATAATGTTTTTGCCACGAGAAAATAAAATTCATATCTTCAAGCCGCCGTGTAATGTTCTTTTTATTATATAGACAAAAAGACATCGATGAAATAATAGATTTTTATTCGCCAAAAAGTACTTGCGACGGCTCAAATTTACCATACTTAAGCAATATAAGACATCTTTTACAATAATCTAGAGAAATAACACTGAGCTGAATAGGGCTCTACAATGACAAAATATAAGCAAAGCTTTGAAAAATGTGTAAGTAAAATTCAAAAAATGATAAGTAATAAAAAGCTTTGAATTATAGTTAAATCATAACAGTAATAATTTACCGAATCTTAGTCATAAGGCGGCAAAAAAGTTTTCAATAGATGTGTACGAAATGTGAAAAAAAAAGCACGAAAAAAGGCCAAAGAACGGTTTATTGGCTTTCATTGCTACTATCAATAACAATTCTCCGTCTTTTAAACTGATGTGTTTTCTCAAAATCGCTGCCTTTTGGATTCTGCGAATTTGTGAAAATGTTCACTGTTCCTACTTGGCACTGGTAAAGAAAGGGCAAAGTTCCCGCACTTCTGCTGGGTTGAACTGTAGATACCGATGTAATTTCATCTACTGTTACTTTTGGCGAAGACGAAGTAGCAACAGAAGTAGAAGATTCCCCTCTCCTGGATAATACTGTAGAGATGTGCTACTGTCTTTTGTCAGATATAGCGGAGTAGTTATTCAGTGAATTGACGTTTTTGTGTCCAGTTAATTCCACAATTTCGTTCCGTGGAATATTATTATCCACAAGTTTCTGGACTAGATGCTTTCTGGTGCTGTGGTTGACCAATTTCTTGTCTGAATGAACTTGGGACGCCGCTAACATGTTTTTCACTATAGATCTAAGTGAATTTACTCCCAGTGGAGCTGCCTTGAACCATTTCTTCCCTGCCTTCGGAACTTCTGTATTGACAGCAAGATAAAACGGAGAGTCGTCTGCCATCATTTCTGGTGGTCTATGTTGCTTATAGGCCAAATAGGCTGTGGCAGGACAGCGATCATTATTGTCAAGGTTTTTTAACATCTTTGGCTTGCTTCCTCTGACATTTTTTGTGTTTTCACCAGTTCTCGTTTTTGTTTGGCGCTCTGTGGAAAACTTCGCGTAACGAAGCCCGTCAGCATTAGTTTTCAGCTCCAAATCTCCCCAGCAAAGATCTCGTTGCTCTTGTCCAGGCCTCATGCCGAAATAGATACAATTGTTAATCCAAACTGTATTCAGAAGTGCTCGTGGCGTTTTAATAAGTAATAGTTTATTGATATCCCTCTCACAGCCTAAAGGCTGAATTACAAGGACGGTCAGTGACAATAATAGAAGACAATGCAATACAAAAATAATCAAATAAATAATTATGTAAATATGATTAAAAGCACTACATAACAGAGAAAAAATAACAGAGCACAGGATTACAACTGGTCTTGAAACTTAATGGTGCAGAAATCTGCGAACCGCTTTGTCTTGGGGACAAGGCGTACCGGAACACGTTCGCCTGCACGGAGGCAGTATAGCCTGTCAATTGACACACAAGGACTTAATCGCTTGAGTACCGGAGACGACAGGCAGTCACGCTTCATAAAATTTATGCAAGCTTCCTCCCTTCTCTAGGAAAGGGCAGTGATAGCAAATTGACTTAAGGCGTCGTCATAGTGACAGTTCGGCAAAACGATGCCTAGGGCCCTTTTTTGTACAGATTCTATAGCGTCCTCTAAATAATTTGACGGGGAAGCCCAAACAGGGCAGGCATATTCAAGTACAGATCTTACAATGCTACAGTACACTTGCACTAGCTGCGTGATAGTGAGGCCCCTTTTTTTAAGCGTGCGCAATGCGTACAAAGCTTGTTGGCCTTTTTGACTATGAGCACCATGTGGAAATGAAAGATCATCAGAGATATAGCCACCCAAGAGCTTATAGGTCACAACCCTTTCAACAACAGAACCCCCAACTCCTGCCCGGTAGAATTCCTCTATTTCTTCATCTGTTAGTGCATCGGCACTGTTGGGCTTGTTTCCCTTTCCTATGGCCTTAACTTGTTTCTGCTTCTTTTTCAGGATATCTTGAACCTCACAGAATTCTTTGTCGTTCAAAAGGGAAAATGTGCACCCTTTTTTACGGAGGTAGCGGTCAACACTATGCAAAAACCCTCTTAGAGAAGATGGTTCATATTCCTCGCCGTTTTTCTTTCTTACTCCGAGTACAAACTTCTTTGCTAAATGTTGGAGCTCGGCGGCTGGAATATTTTCTAGTTTTCTCTCTTCTTCCTCACTGTTAAGAAACTCGTTAAATAATTTTAGATCGTATTGGCATTTTCTTGGTCTTCGGTAAACGACGCAATTTCCTCTTCAGTAAACTTGACGAATCTTTTGCTCGCCATTTTCACTCAGGGGAATGTTTGGCATCGTTTGGCAGCGTTTGCAAGACGCCTACAAATTTCGGAGGGAAATTACCGAAATTAGGTCATCGATAAACTCACTTGTGAGATTATGGAAAATAAACCACTCGGGGCCCGGATGTAGTTTGTATGAATTTTACGAGTGGTATATTTTCCAGTTAAACACTTATGTCTATTTATAAAATAACTGAGATAGTACGCGTGATCTGATTGGTCAAAAACCTATGGTTTATTATATAGAAAAAGGCATCCGGACCACGAGCCATAAACAAAACCGGCTATTGATCTGCAAACGATTTTAGAAAGGCTAAAAAACAGAACAAGTTACTTACCTATCCCTTCTTAATATTAAAAGCGTTGGTTTTCACATTTTATTACTGAGCGTCACAATTCGCTACTGCCATAGCTTTAGAAGTTATAAAGTACAAAGCTGGAAAACAGTTTACATTTCACGACGATGCCAAATCGCAGAGAAAGACAACAACTGTGTGAATTTCTGGTGTACAAAGTCTCTAGGAAAACTTAACAATGTGCCAACCAGCAACAAAACGGATAGTTTTAGCATTCTTGATTTATTTTATTTCAAAATTAAATTCCTTAATCAAAGAAATTGTTTCAAAAAGAGATCTCTGATCAAGATATGGTACAAAATCGGCCGCTGGAGGTTGTAAACAAGCTGCCAACGATGATGAAAGATGTCAGAGTTTCGGGCTAGTTTTTTCCAACATTTGCACAAATTATTCGATGATATCGATGCCATGACCTACCTCACACCACCTGACTTCACAAATCGACAAATATTAACGCCAATATGTGGCTACGGCAAAGAAACCTTTCTCCACCACTGACATATTTCCATCGGTCGCTGTACGTGCATATAAAGTTACATGCGACAACTTCGCAAATGCAGCCACGTCGTTACCGCAGCATTTCTTGATCATAATAAAGTCCAGGAAACAGATCTTAAACCACTGCGGCTTGTAAAAAGTGAATGAAGTCCTCCATTACAATAGCTGCCAGTTTCCTCTGTAAGCACGAAATTCTTACGGATCGACTCAACAAAATACAGCTGCGTACAGTCTGATGTTCAATCAATTTCTACTTCTGTAGTAAACAAACCATGAACGTATTCTTTCATTGTACGTTCGCATGAATATGTGTTGACTTTTCCTGTAAAACAGCTTTCATAAGTTATCATGTAATGAGTGCAAAAACTCGTGTTTTGAAGTGCTGCTGTTTGTTGTTTGACTGAACTGAGTTTTGAGAAAGTTTAGCGCTATTAAATCGTGAGTCGTGATTGGCTTATGATGACTTTAGAGAGAAGACATGACTTGATCACGGTACTAAAATCATATTTTTTACCTAAAAGACTCCATTTTAATAAAAGTTATTTTATAAAAGCAATAGACCACACTTTCTATGGGTTTACCGGCGTGATAACCCACTTGGGATGTTGGGAGAACACTCGAAAAGCTTGTAAATCACGAGCCGAAGGCGAGTGATTTACAAGCTTTTCTCGTGTTCTCCCAACATCCCGCGTGGGTTATCACGCCGGTAAACCCATAGAAAGTGTGGTCTATTGCTTAAATAATAAATATAGCTGCGGCACTAGAAACTCAAGAACAGGCAAAAAAAAACTTCTGAAAACTACTGTAACCTAAATTTTATCCTTTTTGGTTTGTTTAGCATTCATCTTTTATTGCACGCGGACATTTATTCGTTATATCGAGGTGTATGTTGCGTTTGCGCTTGTGGATTGTTTTCATTACAACAGGGATTTCGCTAAATGGAGGTTCCGTTCCATACATTAATTGCCTGTAATTTTGGCCAGGCTAGAGGAAATGGTTCGTTATACCGAGGACTTCGTTACATAGAGTTTCGTTAAATCGAGGTTCCATTGTGGTTATGTTGAGCCTAAGGTAAGACTAACCTCCCATGGTTTATTTTATGGGACGCCACGACAGGTTCACAAAGTTAACAGTTGTGACTCAACAAGCTCTAGCATGTTATAGGGAACGCCCTCTTTCTCACGTGTTGCTGCGCCCTTCCTCACCCTGATGTCCTAGCTTCTATATACAATGGGTTTTAAGCAAACTTTTTTGGGTGTGAAAAACATCTGATTTCAACAAATTGAAAGACCTTGAAACATAAAGTCCCTTACATGAGGTCACCTTCAAAATACAAGTAGGTGATTGGGCACACAGTGTTTTTTTTTTTCACGTCATGCAGAAATCATAACTGCGCTTAGTGGTCTGGCTATTTTCGCGTGAAGTTCATTCGATAATCAAGTCTGAAAATCTTCAATGTTGGAACACTGAAGAACGTTGCAAGAAGGCTGGGTAACTCTGGCACCCTTTATAATTTCGCAAAAGTGGCACCTGAACCAGACTCAAGTCTATGATAAATCAGAAGTACTAAGACCAGTCTACTTCTTAACGCAATAAAATTTGTGGGCACTCTTCTTTGCGTGCCGTGCGAAGTTCCGTTAATGTTCCAAAATTCGCCATTTTGACAGCAAAGCTGGAATTGTAACGGGTCCGCATCTCATCGACTAATTTCCACAGCTTTAACGTTTCTAGTTATCACTATATGTCATTAGACCCTTTAAATGTTGGACGTTTGAAAACATGTGGAGAAAGCTTAGTAATCGCTTTTTCTTGGGTCTTTTTCTTGTCGACGATAAACGTGACTTCATTCTCCGCATGCAAATTAGCCTTAGATGCGTTGTTTCAACAAATTGACAGGAAATATAATCCTTACATTTCACATTTCTAAGGGGAAAAATAACTTTCCTTTCCACAGAAAAACACGAACCATGACTTAAAATCTCGTTAAGGTCTGTTGTTTCTTTTTTAACGAGGAAGAAGCAGCTGAATAATATATCATGATAGATGTTTGCGTGGCTTAAAATAATTCAATTACGTGGCCTGTCACGCATTCCTACTAAAGAGGGGTGGTCGATTAAAAAACAATAGCGTTGTGTCGATCAATTCTATAATATTATCTTTTTTTTTTTTTCAAATGATAGATATTGATAATAATAAAAAATAAGAGTTCACTTGCAAGGTAAGTCCTCTTGTCAGCACACGAAAATTTGTGGGCACTCTTTTTTGCGTGCCTTAAAAAATAGCGTTAACGTCGAAAGCTTTATTATTGCCCCCGTAGGGTTCCGGCCCAGAGGCCAGTCCCCCGCGTAAAGAAGAAGTATCGTATCATCTTACTGTTAGTACGCGAAACTTTCCCGATTTGATGAAACCAGGCGCGCACGGTGGTCCCGGTTAATTTTCAGCATGTGCGCCTGGCTCAGCAACCGCGCAAACTGGGTTTGTCAACGAGTCGCATTCGCCGAATTGTGTCGCACACAAGCACAACAAGTGGCTCCAAATCCTCGCCCAGGAAGATTTTCCACCGAAACTCCTCTAGAGCGAGAACGCCGACTTCAAATTCAGCGTGAACAACGAAGGAGAAGACGTCAACAAGAAACCGCGGAGTAGAAGGAACATCGATGAGCACAGCGAGGTATGGGGAATGTACATTAAGCAAGATTTTAAAAAATGGGATAGCTCCCCAATAGAAAAAATCCACCTCAAATTCTTTAAACGTTACTTAGAGGTTAACAATAAGGCCTCTAACATAGCTTGCAGAGCTGAACTTGATAGATTGCCGCTGCTTATCCCGATAAATCAGAAAATTATGAAATATTTGTTTTCCTCAACAACAAAGATAATGACTCTATAGTCAAACAGTCTTTCCTTATGTCAAAGAATCTACATTCTATGAATAATTCCGA